AAAATAACAGGAAAAAAAAGACACCTCCTGTTCAAAATCACATACATCCTCCATGAGTCTCACAAAGCTGTGCCTCTGCTTTATAAGAATTTTCCATTTGTTATTGTTATGAAAGAGCAGAAATGTGGTAATTTAAATTACTCCTTGCTTTCATTTTCAGTGCCAAAAAAAAAAAAAAAGGGTGGAAGGCACTTTTTTCAATAAAAGAACTGCTGAAATAGAAACATTTACACCTTGTATGCTAGAATAGAGCAGCAGACCTATGGGAAGAGGAAGGTTCTGTGTATCTGTTGTTATTGGTGGCTCCTCTTCAGTACAATTACGTTTGCTGCTTCCTGAGTCATTAAAGGAACTTTGATAACTGTCCACCTAAATGCAGTTGTAGTTCCCTCAGGAAACGGAAAAACGGCTTTATTGCACTCTGGTTTTCCTCCTTTTGGTAGCTTTTGAAAATTATGTATGCATGGGTGTTTCAATTAATCATATTTTATAAATTTTAACTATTACTTAAAACTCAAATTCAGTGTAATCAGCCCATCTGTTAGCAATGGTTATAAAATTATGCTGAAGATTAAAAATCTGATGCAGTGTCAATATGGCCTAGCATAATTAAGCTTGTTTTTATGATGAATGACGAGGATATGGCTTTTGTCTGCTTGAGCAGCTTTAAAATGGTAAACCTTCTGTAGACTTAATGTACAAAATGTGCAGGTATGTCTAGAAAAACAACAACAAAAATGTTACAAACTTGGATCCTGTATTCATAGATGTGGTGTCTTTGGAGGCCTTGGGACACGCCAGCAGAGTAATTCCACATCACAACCTAATTCACTGCCTTTTTCAATCCATCAAACGCTATCTTGGATCTACTCTCTTCCCTGCAGAATGTCACCTAAACAGGCATTAAAAATGCAAGTTTTCTAAATTCATTATTCATTTTGGAGAGGGGCAACATGACCTGTATGGGCACTAGTGGAAAAATGAGCACACCATTCACTTAGATGACCTGAAGATACTGCTAAAGCTACTCTGTTCTTTGGCACTTGAAGCATTTGCAACACGGCCTCATCACCTTACCTGAGTAAGAGTTAACATTTTAAGTGTTTTAATTCTGGCATTACTGTGAAACAGCTCTATACAATCATCTCTATTGGAAAACCATTCTTTATGTGGACACTTCTTCCCTTTAAAATGTGTCCTTGGGGGAAAAAAGAAAAAAAAAAAAGAAGCCTGTTTTGCAAAAATAAAACTGCAGAAGCTCTTTATATAGTTGTACGTGCTAAACTTCCTGCAAAGTCTTCCTCCCCTACAAACTCTGCCTGCAGATGAAGTGTTTTAACCTTGCCCTCTTAATTTATTCTACATTCTAATTTTCAATAAACAGATGCCGCCTCTTTTCGCGCTTGTTTCCACATTGTTCCACATTCTGCCTGTGTTGTTTCTGCATGTGTGAATATTCAATTATCTATTTCTCCACCATTCTGCAACTGATGTATTAAATCTCTGTAGTTTTGGGGGAGGGTAACTGGGGAAGGCAAAACTTAGAGGAAAAAGAGTTACAGAAGTTTGAATTGCCTACTTTCCCTGAAGGCTGCCAAATTAAAAAGAAAAGCATGAGCCACAAGTGGAAGTGCAAGGATTACAAAAACACTAGTGCACAGAAGCAGAATTGCTGCATACTAGCTCATAATGTGTATGTGTTTATTTGGTCAGCACTGGGGTGTGAAATACTCAAGAGAGCGAAGGGGCAGAAGAGGCTGTTGGTGCCTCTGCCACTAGAAATTGAGGGGCATGGGGGTAAAAAGCACAAAACAGCTCATTGCCACTGTGGTCAGCTATAGCAAAGAAGAGCTGATAACCCATCTTGGGACTCAAAAGCGAAGTATGCTGTATAAAGGAGAAACTGTTACTCTTTATGGGAATGGCCCAAGAAAAGAGACCACAGGACAGCTCTTCAGGACAGCCCTCAAAACCTTGTGGCCCAAAAGCCTAGCTGAAGATAGAAGTAGCTTTAATCTGTAAATCTAAGGAATTCAGGAGCACAGAACTGCACTGGCTCATGTGCTAGAAACTGCTGTTGCATTATTCACCTGCAAGGATGCCTCCTTCGTGAAAAACTCATCGGTTCTTACTGGTTGCAGCCTGTGCTGTCACCTTGCACACTCCCAGCTGGGAACCTGAGGGACCTGTGTCAGCATCTTCTCTCATGCTGTGCTGACATGAGTAACAGAACCACCAAGCATGGAAATATTCTTATTATGGTCAGCTTTAAGGCTCCGTGGAAAACCTGAGTTAACTGCATTTCAGAGGTATGCACCCGAAGTGGTAGGCTGGGTAGGGACAAAGGCTGGGGTCAAAGGTTTAAGTCTGCCAAAACCAGTACACGGCTTAGAACAGCAGAGGCAGGTCCGGAGCTCGTGCACAGGAGCCTGCTGCTGGTGCAGTTTCAGAAGCCAGGGACACTACACGGAAAGACAACAGAGCATGGACATGCTGATCCAGAAGCTTCAGCTCCCGGGCAGCCGCTGGTGGTGGCAGGTGAAGCCAGCCTTGCCCTCCCACCACCTGTTCCTCCCTAGCAGAGACCCTTGGCCAGGGCAGAGCCGCTGCCTGCTCCTGCATTACCAGTCTTCTCTTCTCCCACCTGGCAATAACTGACCTGTTTTCGCTCACCTGGCAAGGGCTATGCGGCTTTTCTGACTTCAGGTGCAGCAAAACACCCCCATCTGGCCTGTAGGTCCTGCAACAAAAGCAGAAAGACCCAGATAGTAGAGTGTGTCAGAAAGGCTCAGGGGCTAAGAGGTTGCCGTGAAAGACTTCTCCATAATTAGTGGAGCGTGATGATTAAGAGCCGGAGCAGACTCCTGACACTAAGAGGAGCATATGTGTTGTCCGGAGGCTCTGTGGCTGTGGGACCCTTCCCTAATTTAATGCAATTGCACAGCTGTTGAAAACTGCTACTCACCAGTACGTACAATTGGTGGTAACAACCGGAACCATAAGAACGTCCGAAGGGCAGAACAAACATGATAAATAACTCTCCTGACATAGGCTCCTGCTTTTCAGTCCTCGTACCGAGGCGCACGCTGCTCCGCGTGAGGAAGCCGCCTGCTCCAGCCCCGGCCTCTGGCCCAGCCTGCTGCTGCAGCTCCTCCGCAGGCAGCCAGACCCACCCTCAGCCCCACCCTGGCGCTCCAGGAGCGGCTGAGAAATGGCTCCATGGCTACGGCTGTGGTAAGCTACAGGCCTAGGAATAAAAGCAGCAAAACTGAGATGAGACGTACAAAATACGCTTGGCACTGTTGTCTGGACTTACAATGGCACTGGGCCTTACAAAGGCCGAGAGCTTTGAGTCTCCCACAAAACTGTTACAAAACAGGAAGCATATGTCAGTTCTGCACCTGGAGCGAAAGCTGCTCACTCACCTCCTGTGACACCTCCAGGATGAGGCTCAAAGCTCCAAAGATCTCTCCCTCCACGCTTTATTTCAGCCACCCTTCTCTCCAAGCTGAGACAGGTAACGTGTTTGTGTCCCTGCAAGTCACGCGTAACAAACCCTTGCCAGGCTTGGGCCTGCAGCCCATGCAGGACAACAGATTGGTAAAGTGTAAACGGCCTGTTGGCAGAGCTGGCCCTTGCGTGCCGATTTCCAGGAGATCAAAGGAATTTTTTTTGAAATAAATAAATAAATCCTGCTATAGGAGCCTGCGCAGCCTGTGCATCTCCCAGTTAGAGAGGAGGACTGCGTGGATGCCGGCTTGCTTTGTGCACAGAGGGAGACCTTGTTAGCACCCAAGCTGGTGTGCCAGGCAAAGCCAGCACCGCAGCAGCTCTGCTCCAGAGTGAGGAAGCTCAGGAAAAAAAAGAAAAAAAGAAACAAAACATAAAACTTTCTAACCTGAAAATTACCAGAAAAGGAAAGGTGATGTTGCGTGAGTACGCTGCCCAGCTAAAGACACGAACAGGGAGAAAGTAGAAAGTTCAGTTCCCTGTATGACTAACCAACCAGACTCTTTAAAGAGTTACAAGATGCATTTGATGTGGCAACGCTGCTCACTGGACAAAGTCAAAGCTGCTCCTGCCCAGCAAGTACCGGTCTCAGCTGCAGCCTGCTCTGCACCAGCATCCACAGGGATTTCATAGGCCTGCTCGGACAACACTGTGGCAGAGAACAGGTCAGCAGGTAAAGCATAGAAGTGCATAGTACCCATAAATCATAAATAAAGATTTAATTACATGCTTGGTTAATATTTACAAACACTGAAGTTCTTGTTAGATATGTAAATAAAACACAGAAATAAGAGACAGGGACTGCAGTAGCCAAGCAAAGCCAAAATACAACAGGTTAGAGTATTTATTGTGAGCTGGCATATGCCTGGAGCAGGGAATGGAGACACACTAGATAAACTGAAAGAATAAATAAATAAATATTGACATTGTTCTACACCTGTTTAGCCTCTGGAGACCAGTGATTTGTGGGACCATATGTTGGGCAAAATGAGACTGTTCATTGATAATTGTAAATGTGGTGACCCCTTGCAAACTGGATATTAAAAATATTAGGTAAATGGCACATTTTAATTATACAGTAAAGAGGCTGTTCTCCACCATTAAAAGACTGCAGCTGTCAGGAAGAACTGATCATATGACAGAAGGTAACATTTATTTGATAGTGGACCTTGGTAAATGACATCCCAAATGATCTTCAGATTCTCAGACAAACACATTCAGTTCAGACTTGGGTTTAACCATGAAGCTTCAGTCTCTCTTTCAGCTGAGACAATTCTTATCTCTTCCTCATATACTATAGGGCCTGTTTGGTTTTTATTTTTGTTTTAATCTCCTTTGCAGTATTTAAATTTCAAATGAAGCATTATCAAAACAAGAAACTGTAAATGAAGGAGTTTGGAAGTCAACACATTTGTTATCCTTTTTGCCAAAGGTATCGAGTAAGTTGCATAATTACCACAGCATTATATCATCTTTGTCAACATCAACAGAGCTTTCTGTTGGCTTTGAAAGTGCCATTAGTGAAGAACTGAACGTGCAGACTCAGAGTGCAGCAGCCCGGGAGAAGCCGAGAGCATTCACAATGCCTTACGAGGTTGCATAAGGAAATGGAGACAGGTAGCAAGGAATCACAGCAGAAACACCAAACGCTCTCGTGTGAATGCTTCTACATCTGCGGCAGGGGAGAGGAGCTGCAGTTTTTATAGCTTCCTTCCTGCCTACCGTGACTCAACTTTAAGACAAACGTGTGAAGGTAAAGCAGCAGCAGCCCACGGGGATTGATTCTTCTCACTGACCCAGAGGAACCCTTCTGTACACAGGGTTTGAGTTGTTTTTTTTTCTCCCTCCACTTCTGATTTGATGAGGTGCCCGTTCCATGTGTCACATTGTGCCGATCCTGTGGTGAGGCACTTGCAGAGTCTGGAGGTTGGGGCACGTGAAGTGAGGAGCAGGAAGAAAGCATGCTGCTATCCCATTGGAAGCAAAGGGGAGCGTGGGCCCATAGAACACCTCTTCCTTCCCTTCCTTGCTGACATCCAGCACCTGCAGGCCAAAGCGTACAAAATATTTCAGGGATCACAGAAGAAAGCTTAAACAAGTTTGCTGGCACACACCACATATGTGTGCTGTTAATCCCGACATAAAGGTAGTTTCAGATCATTTTTAGATCAAATTTATGACGGATCTGGTCATTTTTTGCTCTCCTCATCACCCAAATGTTAGGCTAGCTCAGGAACTCAGAAGCTCAGGCACTCGGTAGCAGATGGTGACACTGGGTGCTGCTTCCTGGCAGCAGAACGTGCCACCTCCCCAGCAGGGCACTCTGCACAGAAGTGCCACTGTTATCTCTGAGTATGCATCACTCGTCAGCTTGGTGCTGAATAGGGAGCAAGGGAACTCTGCGAAGTTGGAATAAATGAATGATTTAAAGAAAATGAAGATATATGGAAAAAGTGAATCTTTTTTTTCCAAAGGAGAGAGCAGCCTTCAAATGTGCTGAATTTGAAGATAAAAGGGCTCATTTTGCAAGTTAAAGCCAACAGCTGGGAAGGGGCAGCACACACAGCTCTGCCGAGGACTCATTAGACTTCTTTTCCCTTTAACGTGGGGACTGCCTTGGGCAGGCTACCAGTTCACAACCAGTTTGGGGATGTGGACAAACGTCCATTTAAGAAAGCAAGACCCCAGGATCATTTTCACTTTGTCACTGAGTGGTATTTAAACCCACGTGCAATACTGCAAAGGACCTGCTGGTTATACACCAGCGAGTCGGTGGAGTACAGCCACCCCCCTGGTACTGTGCTGTTACTCTGTGAGCCTGTGTTATCCAAGCCAGTGCCAGTTTGAATGACTCTTTCCAATAGCAATTGCTCAGTGTAGTATCCAACAACTTACCAAAACACAATTATACTATGACCAGAACATGGTTTCAGCTGCTTATCTTGCATGATACATTCTTCACAAATTCATGCTAATAACCATTCTTTGTGAGACCAGCAGCTCAATGTCTAATACATTCCCTTCTTATGTTAAAACTAATTTGTAGTCTTATGGGACAGTTCAGAGATGAAATCCTAAAATCCAAAAAGTTGGAAGCTAATGAAAATGTTGTTTATCAGCAGAAGTGCAGAAACTGAGATGTAAACAAGGGTTGCTGTATAACTGCCCAGCTGGTCACAAAGCTATGGCTGTGATGCAGATTTGCTTCACTCAGAAGCACGTAGGAAGAATTCCTAATTTCTCTACAGGAATACCTGAAAGTCATGGATCTGCAGGCAAGCTGCTCTTATACAGGATCATAGAATAGCTTAGGTTGGAAGGGACCCTAGAGATCATCTAATCCAACCTCCCTGCCATGGGCAGTGACGCCTCTCAGCCTCATCCAGCCTGGCCTTGAACACCTCCAGGGAGGGGGCACCCACAGCCTCTCTGGGCAATCTGTTCCAGGGTCTCGCCACTCTTATACTGAAGAACTTCTTCCTAAAGATGAGAGAGCTGAAGAGTATGTTGGACAACCTATTGCCTACAGCAGGAGCGAAAAAGCTTCCATTCAAGCTTTGAAGCAGTAAGTGCAAGGGCAGCTTGCATGCTGACTGAACCTTGTCAAACAACTTGTTAACTCTACGTGCTCTTCAGAAAGGCAATGTGGAGAAAGAAGACAAAAAAATAAATAAATTACAAGACAGGCTGAAACCTTCTTAGCCCATGACCCATCACCCATTTCTGCAACCCTTTTACTTTTGAACTTGTGTAACCTGAGAATATATATCTATTATTTTACCGAAAACCTGGCCAAAAGAGAGACTACTTGACCCTCTTTTACTAGAATATCTTAGAAGAATTGCATCTGTTGGCTCATCTGGAAATAGTTTTAGTATCCACAGTATTTCTTCTCTGTGTTCATGCAGTTTTGGTGGCTGCAATGAGAAACATCCTTCATCTCTCCACTTCACACGCATTTTCCTCATTGAATAACCTCTGTGCACAACTTATCCTTGCAAAATTATTGGAAAAGACTTTAAAAGAAACCTAAATCACTCACCTGGATACATGCCAAAGGCTCATTTGTCCAAATGGAATAGCCGCCAACTAAATATATTCTACCATTGTGGACAGCGACTCCAGACTCATTTTGACCTAAGGCAAAAAAGGCAATAGAAACCAGTTTCAGTGTTTAATTAACCCTTTTAACACCAACTGTTGGAGTTCTGTAATGGGATGCAAATGCACCTGGCAGCAGCTTGGCTCCCTCAGAACTGACAACATGCAAGCGTGAGGGTGAAGCAGGGGGGCTGTTCTCTGCTCTCCGCAGGAGCCCTCTGGGGTGCTGTCCAGAGAGACACCCCAGATGACCAATAAAGAGAAGCTGTGCAGGGGACCATCTGCTGTCTCCTCAACGGCACAGCTTTTTGTACACGTGTATGTCACAGGTGATGAGTGAGCTCCCCACCTGCCTCTCAGCTACTGCCTCACATGAACATCCAAACAGACGTGCAGACTGAGAGAGCTGAACGCCGCTCACATTCTGCCCACAACCCTTCTTCCTCCAGGTACAAGTCTGGTGAACACTGCAGAACCTGCTGTGCAAGCTCATCCTCGTAGCAACCATCTCCTGACCCAAGTTTGGAAATTCTGAAGGACCAACACAGCCTTAAAACAAGACTGTATTTACAAGTCAATACACTACACAGTACAACAGGCACATCTACCACCAGTTGCAGAGATGCAAAGAAAGGCTTAAATGGCCTCTTAAGGTGCACGTTGTGGAAGCAACCCACCAGGTGGTATCTGGGAAGAGGCTGCTCTATCACAGCATTGAGTGGTACTAGATCAGCTCCAGAACAAGGGTACCTGCAGTGCCAGTGCTTCTGCAGCTGCAAATCAGAGGATGCCCTTCTCAAAGGCTGTCGATTCCTCCAGAAAATGAGGTAATTAACTGGAGAGCAGAAGGGATATGAAAAACTCACTGTTTGACAATGCATAACCCTTTTTAATCTATGCCTCTCTCCCCAATGTCCTTGAAGCATTCAGATGACCTGACTCAGAAATGAAGCAACTCTTCTCCAGATTCCAGAAATTAAGAAACCCAATGCAGTATTTTAAAGAACAAAGTTGCAAGCAGAGCAGGTTTTAAACCTACCTGACTGTCTTATCCTGAGCTTCTAGTTAAACTCCAACATCCTTTGTATCCTTTTGAGTGGTGGATCTTGGAATCATTGCAACATGGAAAAGGATGCAAAGTGAGGTGGGCTCAGTTCTAGGACTCCTACAGCAGCCTGCACTGAAACTTTTTGGCAACCAGTACTGTTTTTAATTGGTGCACAAGAGAGTGGCCTCAATGCTAATGCTGTCCTGCCTTGAAAGTCCTTCCTTTTCTTCATAGCTACTGCTGGTGCTACTCTGAGAAGATGTCTCACGTGCCTGTCTCTCCCAGGGATTAAAGGACGTGGTACATCTGGGCACTGTATCAGACAGCAGTAAAATTTGGTGGACTGGGTGGCAGGGACAGTGAGTTACAATGCTTTGCAAGCTCCTACTGCAGCAGTTCTTCATAATAGTCAAGAACAACTATACAGAACCTGTAGCTAACTGAGCTCTTCAACTCATCCCTGACTAGACAAAATTGCAACAAAAACACCTCCTTTTGGGTAATTTATTAAATAGAAACTGCTTAGAAATAAGTGACGGTGAATGGATTTCCATGAAAGCTTTGCCCAGTAACGCCAGCAGAACACACGACATAATGATGGTATCACGGTAGAGACACATCTGCCCGTTGCACACACAGACAGGGAGCTAAACCTATCACTGCAAGTATGCAAGCAAGAGTTTGGAGAATCAAAAATAAGTACTGGTAATACTATGACAAATTAAATTTATGTGCACCTTCTTAAGAATTTAGTTTAAAAATGTCCTATAACAAAATGTTTTGTAGGACACTAAATGCCAGAAGAGTCATCAAAATGGTCTTGTCAGCCAACAGTAGTCCCTAAATTGGAAGTAGTCCCACCAAAGTCATGGAGTTCCACGTACTAAAGACATCTAAAGGGAAAAGAATTGATGCTTTAACAGTAGTGAGTTTCCCCTTTTGGTGTACAAAACTCACCTGTCAACATGCTGAAGCTGCAGCGCGTCCACTGGTCAGCATCTATGCTGTAGGAGTCTATGTGCCGCACCAGGATCCGATCGTTGTTGTAGTCCAGATCATTCCCACCTAACACGTAAAGTTTTCTCTGGACAGCAGCCATGGAGTGATACACTCTCCTCTGCAACATCGGGCTACGGCTTAACCACTTGTTCTGGAAAAAGGAGGAGAGAACTTGTCTCAGCACTGCTCAAAGACATACCCATACCAGCAGTGCAATATCAATGGCATGTCACATGATAGACATGCGTGTTGGCTGTAACACTGACTAGACATACTGGACTTTAAACATGTGGTTTACAGCTCTCACATTTCATACTGTTCATAATGAACACAAATTCGTTAATCTAATAGTATTTATTGTTCTGTATTTTTTCTGTTTAGCTCATCAGGTTTCAAAGCCTTTTTTCTTCTTTAGAACTCAGTAGCAAATCCTCCTTAAGCAAGACTATTAGATGTCTCCTTTGTATACAGTGCTAAAATTATCTGCACCAACTAGCTCTGTTATGAGAGGAGAGTATTCTACCTTCTGTTATTCAGAAGTTTATTTGATCTTGTCCTTGGGGAATGAAGCAACAGGGAAAAACAATTTCCTCAAGAATCTTCTCAAATGATTCATATTTGGTTGAACGCCAACCCTTTATTTGTGGGCACTTACAAAGTAACGTCCCTTTGCACATTTTTCTTCCTGGTTAACAATATTCTAGAATTCTACCTGTTCAGGGGAGGGACAAAAGGACATGGAAGAAGAGGTATTCAAGCACAGTATTTTAAACCTAAGAAAGCAAGTGCCCCTGCTACGCTTACTAAATCAACCAACCTGGCAAGAGATGAGATTAATCTACTTAAGTGGAGGAAGTTAAAATCTGTGAGGAAATTCTTTGCCTTACACGTGCTGCCGCTTGTGGTAACTCAGGAGCCTCGAACAACTGCTGCCTTTTAACCTCCACAATATATAGCTATACATTCCAATGTGTAATTGCTGAATATTAGGCATTAATGCTTGCATTAGTAGTCCAGTCTCTTAACGCCAGACTATAGACACCATCTGCTTTGCAAAGCCTGCCTGCATCCCCTGATTATATCTGTAGCTTCCTCCGCTGCGGTGCCTGCCAGGTGAGCCGCAGAGCGCTGCGAAGGCAAAGCAGCAGAGGGGCCTGGCGGGGTCACTTCTAATACGGCGGCGTGTGAATACTAATCAGCGGTGGGGAAGCAGAGGTCACCCCGGCCGGCTCGTCGGCAGGTAGCTGTGTGCTCCGTGGCAGATGGCAGCCATTATCGACTCGCCACAAAGGCCTCGCGCAGAGGCGAGCGCCGGTGCCGGGTGATGGAGTTATTGAGATTCCAGGCGAGATGCGAGCAGATGTGATGGTTTCCAGTACACACTGTAAACAATATGCCAGCAGAATTTTTAAAAAGAGCTCGTGTGTACAAACACGGAGCGGACCTCATCTGAAGAAGGCGAGCGCGCGAGTCCTCTGTAACCCTTCCCGTGCCAGGCCCGGCTGCTCGCCACTGGTGTTCTGAGGGCGGCTTCCACAGCAGCCAGAACAGAACCAAAGCGAAGGACGCACGACAGAGACACAGCATCTAAATACGTGTCCCCCTCATAAGCAAAACAAGGTTGGTGCCTGTAATTCTTGCTTGGATTTAGGACAGAGTCGGCATTTGCAGAATCGGTGCGTAGAGCTGCCCCTTAGGAAGAAAGAGGCAGGTGTGGCATTGCCTGCGCTCTGCCTCAGGACCTGTCCCTGCTGCGCTCTAATGGCACCGGGAACCACACAGAGGTATCTCCTGGCACTATTTGATTCCAAACACCACAATCAAAGCCCCTATGCTACAATCAGAAAAGTCAATATTCTCCCATGCGGGTGTAAATCAGGCTATGCACCTCTGATTGCAAGCTCAGGACTTTTAATTCCTAAGACAAGCAAGAGGGCATAACCATGTCCTAACCCTCTGAAATGGTTACTGAGCCACACTAACCTAATCAAAACACATACATAATGTATGAAATAAACCCTAAAAGATATTTTAGGTGCTTGGGTAGTGAAATGATAGGCACCCTTGCAGTCAGCAGAGTAAGTCACAGCCAGGTAGTAGAGTCCTGAAAGTATGCAGAAAACAAAAAGCTCACATATGCAATTCAACACAGAAATGCCAGCAACAAGGAGCAGTTTTGTGGCACTGATTTTGGGTGTATGTTGCCCAGGGCTGCTGGATTACAAAAAAAACCGAACAAGCAAAATAAATACTGATAAATACAGGGAATTTAAAGCACATTTCTATATTTAATCTGGTTTCTAATGCCTACAGGCTTAAAAAACACAATAAAAAGTCAGCGTCCCCGTTAACTCTGTTAAACTCACACATCCATACGAAGTGAATTCACAACACTCCTTATTCAGACAGTCAGCATTTGTAGTCTCACAAAATCACTGTATTAACTAAGAGACCTGTCTAAAGTCAAACACAAGAAAAACACATAACACCACAGATACCCACCTGCTTAGGATCATAGACCATGAGCCTGTTTTGATACTGTGCAGTATTTGTTACTCCTCCTGTGAAAGAATTTATACAGGTTACATTTTTTTTTTTCCACATAAGCAAAACTAGGACCAAGATCAGGTACAGCAAAATAATCAATTCTAGGGCTCATTTGCTGACATAATTATGTTGCATACCACAACTTACGCTTACATTCCACTGCATTTTTTAATCTGGTTACAAGGTAATAAATGGCACATTTGTCAAACAGCTAGAAGCACACAACAGCAACAACAAAGACACTCCTCCTCCCCACCCCCCAACGCACAGACTTCCTTTGTAAAGCTAATTCTGTGGGCTAAAAATGAGATAAAATATTATCTGTTTATAAATGATTGTGCATTAAACTGTTGTCAAGATGTGAAGATAAAACCCGCCCTTGTTCCAAGGACCGTGCAGCGTGTGACACGGTTTAAAGGAGGGGGAAGTGGGCTGGCACCAGAGAGAAGGAAGAGGTCAGAGTGGAGCTCTGCCTAACCAGGAATGTGACATGGGACACCACTGCCAGCTGGAAAGCATAGTGCAAACCTGTGCAGCTCTGCTCACCTACGTATTTGAAGGAAATGCTGCATTTAGTCTGTATTATAAGGAGAACATCTCCTGGCTTAGTTGTAGACTTATGCTGGGTGGTTCCTCCGTAGTGACCAGAAACACTACCATTTACTTTTCAATAATGTTTAACAGAATTTCTTCTGTTATTACATTTGTTGATGCTCCTCTTTTTATGAGGTCATCCCCTGCTTCAGAGAGAGCAACAGCAGAGGTGCTTTCATCCTGCTGGCTGAGCTAGGGCCCATCCTACTAAGGCCAGTGGGTTTTTCTTCTTTTATCCCCAACAAGTGTTAATATGGATCTATGCTGCGGAACCCTTTTAGCCAGCCTCCAGCCACATCCAGTGCAGCATTTTGGTTCAGAGCCATGCTGTGATTTTGAAGCAAGTCCCCCACCTCTCACACATCCTTCTAGGCTGTAGGGTGGGACTGGTGTGCATTCAAGTTAAACCAGCAGCTCTGCTCCAGATGTGCACCAGCTCCTAATGGGGCACGTAGGTGCAAAAAAGTAACGGGTCTTTCAGATGGCTTCGTACCAGCTGAGCACTGGGAATATTTGGTCCACAGGACCAGAATAAATCCAGTCCAAGGAGCAAAATGTGAACTCTATGTGGAGTAGACAGAGTGAATTCGGCACTAAAGTTTTATCTGCTGACCTGCTCCTACTGGGCTGAGCTACATGCTAGCACAGATGTACCCTCTGATCACTCTTGAGTGAGCCCAAGAATCTGATCAATGGACAGCAAAAAGTACAGACAAATGTATTCAAGAGTCTTGCCTTCAACCGTAGTAGATGGGAGGAATAACTCTGTTATTTGGGTGCATCTCCACAAGCACCAGTGTACTGGAATCCCTACGCAGGGACGGTAGCACAACCTCACAGCTCAGCGGCTCTTAGAGGCTGAGAGACAGCCGAGGTGAGAGGTAGTCTTTCCAAACTGTTCCCATCACACTACACCACATGCTGCCCACCGCAGCACCCGTGCAGTACCCACGCATGAACAGGAGTTGGAAAGTGGTGACTGTTTCCATCTCTCATCTCACAATCTGTTACTTGTCTCCACGCTGTTGTGCAGCCTTCGCAGTGTTAGTGGCCGTCAGCCACACGCACCAAACAATCTTTTCCCATATCTGTTCTGTAATTTGATTTTCTTCTACATAGTTACTTTCACTCCTCGTGTAATGTTTAAAAATGAGATGCCAGATTAGTATTCTGAAAAACAAAAATCCTAGTTATTTGGATTATTACCTCCAGAATGATGAACTACAGGAGATGCATTGGAAACACAGTGCTGGGTTCCTGTATTTCCGTTCAGAAAGAACACCTTAGTTTGGGGGGAAAGATGTGGAGGAAGTAGAGGAAGAAGGGGGTCGCTCCCTTGTAAAATAATGAAAAAAAATCAAACAAGCAGAATTATTTGCCTCTTTTCACAAAGAAGCCCTCGTATCAACTACACCACTTACATTTTGTCCCCTGCAATATTGCTCATCTGTTGTGTTTTATCATTACATTCCCTTCACATACCGCTCTATTAATCTGCCAAAATGAGATGCTAAGGATTTGCATACAGATTTGACTACACAAAAATAGATCTGGAATTAATAACAGTCTCTATATGTTTTAATTTCTTCTAGACTGGAGTACCCTTGCCTCCAGCAGTATTCTTGGCTTTGAAAGTCATCAAGCTGATTGGTCTGCTCTTAGGTTATGATGCCACATGCTGCTACACTGTCCCCTGCAATCAAAGTGCTCACAGAGATAGATTCCATGCCTTCCCCTAACAAGTATATTTTATAGATTGGCAGTTTTGATCTCCCCTCCCCAGGGGGATAATCTGCATCTTAACAGGTTCTATAGATACATCTGTCATTAAATATGCCATCTTATATCTGCATCAATTTTCAAACTCAAGTTCCTCCTAACTTTGAAGTGCTATAGCAGAAGTTTAAAATTTTCTGCCAAAATTCAAATTTAACAAGTCTGCAATGTCCTCTTGAACTATTTTTTTTAAAAAAATACTCCAGACAGCTGGGAAAGGGCAAAAGAAGTGCAATATGTCTCTTAAAAAATAGGAACTGGAGAAACCACAAAGTTTAAATGCTACTAAAAATAATACATACTTTCTCAGCAAAAATATGGTAATTCTGAGATAATGTCTTAAACTTCTCTGCAGTGCTTTCTATGAGGAAAGGCATTGTAATGACACTTGAAAAGAAGTATTTAAATATAAATCATGCTATTAAATTTGATGTGAAACAATAGCAGTTGATATGGTGGTAACCCACCCATTAAAGAAAGAGAAAAAAATGTTAAGCTGGTTAAATGACAGAAAAATCAGCGTTTGGTCAGTGCTCTTTGGGTTTTATAAACAGAGCAATGATTGCACCACTTTGACATGAGCAGCTGGCTTTGAGGACCAGAGTTCCTGAGAGGCAAGGAGCACCCTCAGGATGAGCCTGTGTCTGTCTTGCTCTTAGAGACAGGAGAACATGCTGGGTGAAAGCCCAGCACCCGGCCCATGGGCTCACAATGTTTTTATACTGCCCTGAAGGCCTCAAACCCTGCTTTTTAAGCCCTCCAAGACCCCTAAGCTCCCAACTCATGGCAACAGTGCCCATCTACATGAGGATCTTGCTGGAGGACTCCAGGATCCACCTTGTCCAGCCCTTCACCACACATAGGAAATATCTGGGTTGTTAGAGCCTCACAGTCAGTCCACAAACCACACTGAAAAAGACCTTCAAAAAAGACATTCCCAAAAAGAAAAGGGTGGGAGGTAGTAAATTCAACACCATTCTCCCAAATGAAAATTGATAATCCATATTTATAACATGTCCTCATAATATCCCCATAAGACTTGAGAAATCCAATCAACTCCAAACCCCCTAGAAAATCTCACAGCTCTCTCTGAAGTCCCCAAGTGCGAGGCTGCGCGCGTGAATCCGAGTTCACTGGGAGATGTGTAAAACTACATGTTGGCAAAGAGCTCCCACGTGTATTCCTTCCAGCAAATCCAGGGAATATATAGAGACTCGTAACACGTGCCCCAAGGTGCTCTGCTACTTTAAAATAGAAATCTCTCCTCTCTTGCATGTCTGTGTGTCAAACACAAGATAATCCTTTCTCAGCATGCAAGCCCACTGCCTTTTACCTCCGCCAGCCCAGGTGCAGCGAGGACAGCTCAGCTGGAGCATATTCTTCCACCCTAACACATCTCCTGGAAGATGCCAACAGCAGCTCTAATTAACACTGTTCCACCCCAGATACAATCCAGCTGCAAACAAGGGAGGCCCCAACACATGGATGGCCGCAGAAGCTCCCAGCTCAGAGACTCTCACAGGCTAAGAGACAGTTTGTTCGTGGGCTGCTTGTGTTTTTAAATCAGTAATTCCTGATGTTTTTACATTCAATCTAAAAAGAATCAGTGGGACCAAACCTATAATGTCCATGCTTGAAAGGTGTGAGATCCATTATCTTTATTCAAATGTAATAATAAAGAAGCACTGTTCCATCTACAGACTAAGATGGGTCACTGGGGCAATTTCTACGTATTTCTTAACCTCCTGCTCCTGGCAGTGCCAGGCACCCCACAAAACCTGTTTTGGTTAAATACTGTAAATTCCTATTTATTTCAGATCTACTGTTCATAAAAGAATTTCATAGGCATTTACTGAGAATAACATTTTCTTCTCCTCACAACAAAGCATACTGACAGCCAGGTAATACTTTTCACCCCAAAACTTCTTGCAAACCCAGAATAATTCTCCAAGATATGTGACATTCATTATTTCCCTGGTCAATATGTCCACTGTTGCAGAAAAAATAATAATTAAAAAAAATACTCTTGAATTTTGAAGAAATGGTTGTTAGATAAAAAGCAGCTGTATGGGGCTGGCTTGTTTACCCCCTCCCCCAGGCTGAGTTTCCATCTGCATCACAAGATGTGGTTTTAGCTGACACACTTAAGGTCAGGCAACTCGGACCTCTGCAAAACAACAGCATAATACTTTGCTTTAGAGAAGATTTTTCATGTGCTAATCCCTTGAGCACTTGAGGTGGAGGGGAAGCCTCCTTATCCCCAGCTGCAGGTTCAGGAATCGCCCAGAGCTGAACAGCCTGGCAGAAGTTCTCTGCTCCTCCCGGTCCCCAGGGAGGACAGACATAACACACAGAAAAACAGGTCTCCAGCCACAGAAGATGCAGGGAAATGGGTATAGTTTAAGTTCTCACTGTTATGGAAAACATTCCCCTGCTTTTATAGAGAATATTTCTAAGTAATACTGAACTCCAACGAGTTAGGTGCATTTTGTTCCTCTGACTCAAATACTCCACTTTTCAAGCATGTGGCGTGCAATCCGTTTGTGAAACGGGTCACGGTGTCAGATCTTAACTGGGGCCTGGAAGATTCATTTTTCTATAAAATTTCAAAACCATCTGCCCGATGCTGTACTGTCAATACCGATGAATTCTCATCGACTTTTAAAAATAATAAAATGTGGGCTATGAAAAAAAAAGACAAAAAAAAAAAAAAAAAAGATGACACAAATACGAAAATGTGTTCCACGATATATGGAGCTCAGAAAACTTAAGAGCTGAACCCACTTGCACTGACCAGAGGGTCCGATCAGTTCCAGAGTGCAGAAGGCTCCTCTCTAAGCCTTCCAGCAGGTTAAAAACCCCAAAGGGGTGGTGGCAGATTAGAATTAAGTTTCTCTGTCAACACTGGCCACCCACCTCCTATTGCCAGTGTGTGCTTTCGCTTGTACGGCATTTTGTTTCACACACTTCCCTTCCCTGCTGCCTTTGCCATGATTTTATGCTCTACTATTTTTGATTCCATCTCAGATTTGTCCCAAAGGTGAAGGAAAGTAAAGCTGAAAATGAATCCTAATAATAATAGTAATAGTAGAAACTTCTTGAGTCTAGTCAGCTTTAGATTAGCAAAGCCTTTAGATGACAAGGGGCTGTAGCAGAGGCACCGATGATTTGGCTAAAGCATAAGTAAATGGTCTGTGTGTGGGCTGTGTTTTGAAGAGATTCTCCACAAATACAAGGGCTAGAGACTTAGATTATCACTTTTAAATTTATTCACTTACTAAAAATGTGGGCACATTTTCATGGTTACCTTGCCAGCTGGTAGCAGCAGACTGACTTTGAGAGCTCTTGCTGATGACCTGCATTTCCCAGAAAAAGCAGCAGGGATACAGCTCAGAAACATCCCTAACTCAGACAAATTTTGTAATTACTTAATTTTAGGCCACATCAAAACTGAGTTCCCACCTGCATTACTGATTACTCTTCTGCTAACACCTTATATTTGATGGTGAACAATGGATTTTTTCAGTGGTGACTACTGCTGGTTTTGGAACAATAAAACGTATCTCTGTACTATTCCCCGGCCCCTGAATATACGCATATAGCAAGCTACAATCTGGCACTCAACAATTAATGAATAAGAGAAAGCTAGCTACACTTCTTGCATCTCCATCTACTTTTATTTTTAAATATTCAATGCACAGAAACCAGTTTTCAATCTGGGTACATAATTCAGATCAATACCCTACTGAAGTATTGCATCCTATGCTCTTGTATTCCAAAGTAACCTGTCAGAACCCAGCAGCTCAAAACTGCTAAGCATTCTCTCAGAAACTATACAAAGCACAACTAAAAAAGTCCTGCCTATCTTATTCCACTGCCAAAACATTGCTCCTTACTGCAACTTTGTAACAGAAGTTACGTTGGTAGCATTTTCAAATATAAATGGAACAATACTGATAAAAAGTTTTCTGTTTTGCCCAGTTTTGAAGAGTTCACCTAATAGGCTTCCACTTACCTCTTCCCCCAGTTCTACAGGTGTATTAGAGGCATTTTTTTAACACAGTATCACACTGCCCCATTATATAAATGCATAACTGAGCACATTAATTAATCCTCTGTGTAATTTTCCCTTTCCCAGAGTCTCTGGAGAGAATAAAAGTAATCTTCAACCAGTCCCACATTTGACTTAAAAATCCCTATCAAATACTTCCTTAGTGTTTTTTCATTTTACAGGAAAAAAAAATGAAATTAAAAAAAAATATTACATTTTCACGTACTGGAGCAAGGACCACCCTCTGATGGGTGTTTCTACTAAAAAGTGGAAACCTAAGCCTAAAGCCTAGAAGCCTAAAAAGTTCCTAAAAAGCCCTGTTTCTCCTAAATAGAGACTGACAAACATAAGACCTAAGAAGAAAAAAAAAATTTAAAACCCAAGACACAGCAATAGTAACTTCCACATATTTGAACTGCCCACCAGAGACACACATCCCTGTTCATAGGTAAAATAAGGACAGGCAGTGAATAAAGAGGGTAATGCTCTGAATACACCCAACTGTGCCCTAAAGCAGAAATCCTGTTCCTATACCATACCTGGGCCCCAAAGCCCCTCATGTGCACACTTCAGGACACGCAGCACAAACTCTACAAGACACCTCCAATGCCAGCTGCTGAGGAAAGTGACCCAAAGCACCTGCTAGGGATCTCGGTGATCTGCTTTCTGTCATGCTTTTCATTCCAAAGTCATCATTTGTGATTTTACTGTATATGTGTAACAATAAGTAGCTGCTGCCTTCTGTGACAATGTTTGGGAATCCATTCCCCTAAGTCACTTAAGTCATACAGGCAGAAAAATACATCTGCAAGTTGCTCTGCTAATCTAAACACTTTGAGAAGCACAGCGGAGGCCTAAGTAGCTAACTTAATCTTTCATTCACATGCCATCTTTCCACCAGAGGCATCCCACACCACATTAGAATTCCCAGAGGGTACTGAAGTGAAGATAGCAATCACTGAACATTTTCCTCAAGGACTGGCCCCATTTACTCGTTAATTTCCTTGATAAATATTATGACTTTATAACCTTCCATGACACACTTCTTACTAAAAGGTGGATATTTTTCTGTCAAATCTTCAGTAGACATCATCGACCTTATTCTAAAGCAACTAGCACCAGAACAGTCACTACAAAGGCTGATGACACAACATCCTCAACTCCCATCAATGTGCACATGTAAAATAAAAAATATATCAGACTTAGTTGCAAATTATATGTTAGTTTAAGATTACAAGGACTACACTTTGATCTCTCTGTGCTACAAAGCTATGGTTACATCCAGGCAGACCTCTGCACTTGCCATGGACAGTCAGAGCCATGCATGATGTCTAATGAAGGTCACCTTGGCCTGTTACAATACCCTCAAGAGCAAGTGGCAGCAATTCATACTTTTGCTTTTAAGCCCTGGATCAACACAGGCCAACAAACACTTAATCCTCCATTTCATTATCAGCAACAAGTGCAGTGGTACCAGACCACACTACAGAAAGTGGGTCTGTTTTTTTTGCTTTTAGGAAGCACGCAGAATTTGAAATCTGAAATCTGTCCAAAAGTACATTATCATTCCAGTTCACTGTGATTTATGAATGGTGACTGGAGATAGCACAGATGATATATGCAGCTTTGAAAAACAGAGAGAGATTTAGCAGACTAGAAATATTGTAGAGGTATGTTACACTCCAACACTTCTGATCACGCTCAATCGTACGCTTCCAGGTTTAAATTCCTCAAAGTACTCTTCTCCTCAGACAAAAGTTATCAGGACAAATAAACCAACGAAGATTTATTCGTTCCATTCAAGACGGTATTTTGGTATTTTATTAGTACCTCAAACTGTGCGTAACATTTTCTACCTGATATCCAAAGAAGACCATCCACCACATATCCTGCATGGCACGAGAGCGATCGGTCAAAGGACTGTACAAAGGTCCACTTGTTCTTCTTGGGGCAATAGCGTTCCACCGTAGGCAGCACTTGACGCAGCTCGTTCCTGCCCCCCACCGCGTAGAGGCACTCGTCCACCGCTCCCAGCACAAAGTGCTCCCGGCAGTTCTTCATCGGGGCGATCTCGGCCCAGGAGTCCGTGCGGGGGTCGTAGCGACAGGCGCTTCTCACCGCGCAGCTGCGCCCCGTGGAGTGCTCCGCCTCTCCCCCAGCTACAAAAATGAAGTCTCCCATCACCGCCACGCAGTGGTGGCTCCTCCCCACGGGCATGGGCGCCAGCTCGCTCCAGTTGGCAACCCCCGCGATGTGAACGTTCTCTTGATCCACCGGGTTGAAGTACCGCAGTTCCTTCACTTTACAGATCTCCCGTTTCTTCCCCCCGATAATGTAGAGGGTGTCTGACTGGAAGCGAGGTTTCGTCCTTCTGGTTTGCCAAACGGGCTGTGCATAGACGCTCTGGTGGTAGGCCAAGGCCTCGTTAATAAGCGCTGTCGCCGTCTCGCTAGCTTGGACAAGAGGATGAGACAGAGCCACGGTGTGCAGCGTGTCCACGTCCATGAGGCCAAAGCGGACGTACTGGAGAAGCTCATCCAGGTACTGGTACCGGCAGTTGTGTTCCAACCACCTCACAGCCAGCTAAAAGTGGGGGGAAGGGAAGGAAAAACAAGACATGTTTGTGTACGATTCCGTCAGAAATCGGCCTTTTGAAAACTGCATTCCACAAGCAGCTCTATACTTAGAATCATAGAATCCTTTAGGTTGGAAGAGACCTTTAAGATCATCAAGTCCAACCATTAAGCCATTAGCAGTGATATCAATCAGTATAAAAAGCACTTACGAAAGCATGTGAGTCAACATAAAAGACACCTACTAAAATTCCACCTACAGTATACATAAAAGCAAACTATTGCACCAGGCCCCCCAGAGAATTTCCATAGCATTATCAGATTGCAATACTGCTATGTGATACTCTTGACGTGCAAGCTGTTGGCAATGCTGTAGGAGACCACAATCTTTCAGAATCAAGCTGCTGGAGAAATAATATAAATGTAGGGAATATATGATCACTGGAGACCATGAGTACACTAGAAAGAAAAGCCAGATTATGGTTAGATGATTAGAAACAAAAATCCTTTCATCCCTCCATCTTTCATTCTATTTATGACAAAATGTAGAAGGAATAGAACAAAACAGATACTGAATCCTTCAATATTTTTTATTCTTCTTCATTAATTTTATTCATAAAGTGATGAGAGGTGTAAAAGAACAAGAAATTAAGGCACAGAAGAGAAAAGCAGTGATGAGGCTCTGCTGGTTTGGAATTGACAGAGAGCAGCAAGAAAGACTCTAAAACTATTAATTAAACATAGCCTTTAAATTACATAAAGCATATTTAATCCAACCAAGTCTAAAAAGAGGCTAGGAAGGGCTTAAACCATTTCAAGAACTGTTTTATGTTATTCTCTAAAACCTGCAGTGATGAAGATACCCAAACTTCCTCAGGAAAATCATTCCCATGCTCACCTATCTTCCTACACAGATTTTCCTTTTACATACACAGGAGCTCTGAACTCAACTCATTGCCTAATTTTCCACCTCTGGGTTTACATTCCAGAACTCGGGAACCTCCAAGATGAACCCTTGAAACCGATTCATCCATATAGGATGAAAAGCAGTTTGCTACACCCCCCACCCACACCACAC